ACAAGAGTTAAATTTAAAAACTGGGATCAATACTTGATAATAGGAAACACTTGTCCATGTTAGTTACAATAACAGTGTCTGACTTGAAGATACTAGTACATAACAGCTGTCTCTTTAAACACCTAGACATTACAGCATGCTCTAGCACTAACACAAAAGCTGTAGACACATATTTTAACACAATTCTGGCCACAAACATTGTCAGTCACTGTTTTTAGAAGCAAGACTGGCCTTCCCTCTCACACACAGAACGCATAATTTTAAACACTATTTTCACTGTGTCCTATACCTCTATCACACGAGCACCCCAGCCAATCCCAACCCTACTCCCTTCGATGGAACACTGAAACCTCGCACTGGGAGGCCCCCCGGGGGGGCCTGCTGTGCCAGTGCAACCAGCACGTAGTATTAACTACAGCGGTAACGAGGCAGGCCCCTGCACCTTGGCCAGCTCCAAAGGGACCCGCTGCATAGGGGCTGGCTTCGTTTCCGTCACAAATCAGCCGGAACACGCCAGCCCTCTCAGCCCCACTCCCGGCAGTAGCTGGTGGCCGCAGAGACCCGAAAAGCTCTGTGAGGGAGCCCCCCGCCTAGGGCCTGCCCTGCCACCGACCCAGCCCAGCGCACGGCCTGCACCCCCGCTGCCCCAGCCCCTCGCCGAACGCAGGCTCCCCCCCATCCCTTTCCACCTCCGCCACGGAGCCCCGCGCACCAGCCGCCGTCCCGCCGCCGCTACCAGCCCACGAGCACGCTGCCCCCACCCCCGGGCGGGATTTAAATTTCCCGCGTCCTCGCCTTGCCATTGGCCAGTTCGAGCCATAGCAACCTCCTGAGTGGCCAGTTCGAAACGCCGCTCGTCTCGCGATCCAAGGGAACGAATCCCCGCCGCCGTCCCGGAAGAGCAGGCCAAGGCCTCCTCACGGAGTCAAAGCCCCGTCGCCGCCTCAGCACTACAACTCCCGGCATTCAGCGCGCAGGGACGGTGCCGGGATAGGCGGCGGCGCTCTCGCCTCAGCAGCTCACCAGGGGGCGGCGCACGGCATGCCGGGATTTGTAGTTTTACGGGGGGCGAGTCTGCTGGGGGTCGCGCAGGGAACAAGCGCCCCTGGATACGCTGAGGACAGCGAAGTTTTCGCGCTCAGAGCGGTTTGGGACAGAACACGCCATTTCCTCACATACAGTCTAATTTCTACCGCAGTAACGGTTGGGCAGCCACAGACTTTTTCCCTGAGACTCCCCGTGTTGTCTCCTAGAAATGTGGTGTGCAAGAATTCAAAGAAAACGGGGTGTGAGATTGCAGTTGAAAGCAATTCAACAGCAATTAGGATGGCTCAAAAACTAAATCATCCAGCATAACAAAAAAAGGATGCCTGCCCTTGTGACATGCCCAGAAAATCGACACATTTGGGATTGTTTCAGATGGGTTTGGCTTATTTACAAGGCATGGAATACAAAAGAACACCCTGTTTCACAGGAACTGTAATTCAAACCATAAAACCAGGGGGAAAACACGACTCTGCCAGCAGCTCAGGCATTTCAACATCTATAAAGTACAATTTGGGTTAGAGAAGTGTCAGAGAGGCACATTGATACATCTGTGTGGTATACCATTACCTTAAACTATTTATATGGTAGATACATATTTATACTGTAGATAAATATGTAGGTACATATTTATACTGTAGATGCATACAGTGGTCGACAAAGATGTACGCAGAGGGGGAATTACCAGTGACACTTTACGTAGCCTGTTTTGGGCCTTACAGTTCTGGCCTTTGTGAAAACATCACAAGAACATTTAAGCAATAGTAGGGAAGTCAAGAAAAAGCACGTAATTCACAGAGACACTGAAAAGGACTAGTTTGATGGAAAAAAGCAGCCCAGAAGTAGAAACCAAGGTAAAACACCTGGTGTGCAGAAGGCTGACGTGACGAAAGTCTCCTGGGTCAGAAATTGCTGGAGAATGCAGTCTGGAGCAGCGTAACCTGGGCAAAGAAGACCAGGCGAGTGGAGGGGTGGATGTTCCAGTGTAGGGAGAGAGCAGTCAGAGATTAGGAAACTCGAGATGGCTGTGTGCCAGGTGTCACAGGCCAATGTGGGGTGAACTCATCTTGGGGCAGGAGGGGGGTGTCACAGCTCGAAAGGCTGTTATCATTATAGGAAAGCGACAGATGGGTGGAGGGAGCTGAACAGCCCCACAGTGGCTGAGCTTGGGCTGAGGTAATGGCGACAGCACAGGGTGTGCAGCAGGGAAAGAAGGCCGCGAGCGACCTGTGAGGGAAGAAAAGCAGGGTGTGGAGTCCAAGGGCCAGGGTGGAGTGAATGACAGCAGTGTCCGGGACGGTGGCGGGACGCCAGACGTCGGGAGGCCCATGGGGGGAAGAGTTTAAAGGTGAGGGTCGCGGGAAGAGGGCCGTTGCGTCTCGAAGCCGATCTCCTGAGGGGTGTCCGCGCCTGAGGAACGAAGGACGCCGCCCTCGCTCCGCGCAAGGGGAGCTAACGGCCGCCGCGCATGAGGTGGCTGCGGGGGCTGAGGGCACGAGCTCGCCCCCTGCTGGCAGCGGCAGCTCGAGCTCGCAGGACGCTACAGGGCGGGACCTAGAGGCCTGTCGGGGAGGGAGGGCGCCAATGGCGTGCAAGGAGGGAGGGCGGGGCCTTCCTGTCACGAGCGGCGAGAACGTGCGGGCTGGTTTAGGGGGCGGAGCCAACGCCGGCCGGGCGGGGCTCTTACTGCGCGGCGCTGGGAGCTTTTGCTGGGTGACCCAGTGGCCTAATGGATAAGGCATCAGCCTCCGGAGCTGGGGATTGTGGGTTCGAGTCCCATCTGGGTCGTACCGCAGCTATTTTGTGGCTCTGCGGCAGCTCCAGCCACGCGCGCCGCGCCTCATCATCGCCACCCCCTTATCCCCGCGCCAACACTTTTAGCCGCGCCGCACGCTGCCGCGGCGGGATCCGAAGCGGAGCCGGCAGCCCTGGCTGCCGCTGGGACGGGCTCCAGGCGCGGCTTCAAAATTCTCTCAGCCGCGGCCGCCGCAACCGCCGCCCCGTCAGCGGGGGCGCCTGCCCTGCCCGCCGGCACCGCGGCCCTTCCCAGGCGCCGCCGAGCCGGGGGCCGCCGCCTCCCGCGTTTCCCGCGGGGATCCTCCGCCCGGAGGACGAGGCGTGAGGCGGCCGGAGCGGGCGTCGCCTCGGCCGAGCGTGTGGCCGGTGAGCGTCCTCGGCTGCCGGGAGGCGGTTGGCTGGCGGGCGGGCGGTTCTTGCTCCGGGCGCTGCGAGGCCGGCCTGAGGGCGGGCTGGCGGCGGCCGGCGCCGCGTCCCGGCCAGGGCCGCGTCTCTGGCTCCTCCAGAGCCGTTGTGGTAAACACGCGTGGAAAACCGGGGCCTGACAAACTCCTGCTGCCGCCAGCACTGCTGCCTGCCGTCTCCTGGAGCAGGACACGCTCACGGCGCTGTCGGTCCTTGCTCTCTTCAGCCCAGAGAGTCCCGCTCTGGAAGCTTTCCCCCTCTCCCCTGCTGCTGCCACACCTGTAACTTCCTGCACGGCAGAAACCCTCCCAACGCTCCTTCTGTCCTTTTAATCAAGATCCTGTCCGCTCTGGAGAAACTCATTAACACCCGCACAGGCATACCTGAGCACAGGTTGAGTTACACTACCAGCTAATATAAACAGCAAACTCCCCGGAGCACAGGTCTGCAGGACACTCATGCCTGCGCCCATCGTCCTGAGAACAACCCTCAACAGCATCAACGTGTCTGTCTCACTTGTGACTTCACTTGCAGGTGATGAGGTACATAAAGAAAATAAAAGCTCACCTCTGCCTCATCCATAGTTTAAATTCCTATTTCCATACTACCTATCTTGGGCTACTTTTGGAATTAAAGTGTTTAAAATAGCAAAGGAAAAAAGGGATTAGTAAATGCTGCAGAAGAAACATAACACACTAACAGATGTGTTAAAATTTAATTTATTCTATCTAATTTTTTGTATCTTCACCCATAGCTGCTTGAGAGAAAACCCTGTACTTTTAAGAATTTTGTTAAACTGCTTAGTTACAGCAGTACAAAACAAGCTGTTTCAACTAGGCAATAGCTGGACCACACAACACAGAAATTACTGATGGGCAGATTTTCTGTTGGGGGGTTGAGTTTCAGGAGCTGGGATATAGTACTTCCACGGGGTCTCTAACTTGTTAGTTGCACCTTAAAGGCGTGAAGCAGTTCACTAACTTTCACAACATCGAGTAGCAGCTAGTGAGATAAACTGTCACAATGGAAATCTTGGCTAGTAATAGGGTCACCCATTTCAGTTGGGAACATAGGAATAAGCCTACTTAATTCAGTAATCCAAATCAGAGTTGGCTTGGTGTGTGAAAATTTGCAGAGTTGTTCGTGTTAGCAAACATAGATTTGAAGATAAAGCTTTATCTGGGGTCAGCAGAGCAGTCCCTTGGACTGGACAGTAACCGCTATGTTTTTTCAGTTTGAAAAGAATCACTGAAAAGGGTGCCTTAAACTAAAAGAGAAGATTACCAGCTGCGTAACTGGAAGTGGTCAGAAATACCTAAATATGTTTAATCGTAATGCACATCCCTTGCAGATGTTGAGTTGCAGAGGTGATACATCTTCCAGCAGCTGTCAGTCACACTTTATAATGTAATTCTCCGTATTTGTTCTATATGATTTTCTCTAAAAAGCACCATAGGAAGCAAGACCCTCCCCTAAAAGAAAAATCTGTTGCTAAAACCACATATCTGTATGTTATTCACAGAAAACACAGGTGACAGCAGGCAGTATAGAGTTGCGTATGTATGGGAAGGGGGGTGTCTGTGCACATTCCTCCTAGGCAGGGGTAGTGGGATGCTAGCGGAGCCGGCAGCAGCTTGGTTTTGCTCCAGTGGGTTGTCCAGGGAGTGATTCCTGTTTCCCCTAAGGCTGCCTCTCATTAGCATGAATCAGGGGAAGGGCATAAAAGACTCCAGTTCATTTTGAGTCTGGAAAAACTTCAAAATGACAACCAAAGTGTTCTGGCTCCTCTGCTTTGTCATTAGATCATCTTCCACCTCACTGGCCGGTAAGTCTGTTAACATTCAAAGCGGGGCTGGGGCATATTTGCCTTTGGTATCAGGGGAGGCTAAACACATTACTACAAATTCTTGTCTCAGTAGTGCTCTTCAGCTGTAGTCTTGTCAGCAAGCGGTAGCAGTAATCACATAAGGGCTCAAGAAAAGAAACACTTCAACATGTTTGTGGGATGGGAATGTAAATTGCAATAGTTGATTTGTCAGCATTTGAAAGAATTAAGAGCACCTGCCAAAAGCAGGCAGCTAGCTGGTGGCATGAATCTTGCTAGCCATCATTCAGCAATTGAAGTTTGACTTGTTTCTGCATTTGAGATTTTTTTATTTGTATGACACCTTTCCCTTTTAGTCTCCTTCCCCTCACCTGTAAACTCCAGATTTCTAATTTATTTCAACATGCTCTGTGCTGTCACATGTGCCTGCAGCAAGCTGTCCTTAACAGCTTTTTTTTTTTTTTTTTCAGTACCTCATTGATGGTACAGAAATAAGATCTACATCTATTCCACTGGGAGTGAGAAGTCCAGGAGCTGATTATGTTGTAGTTGTATTTCTTAAGTTGCATGAGCTAGACAAGAATATGCTGTTACAGGGGAACGAACCTAAAAGTCCTAAATAGATTAAGCAGAGAAAAATGAACAATTTCTTGTTACAATCCCTGACTGAGAAGGCATGATAAACTGGTAGAAAAGTATAGTTATAAAATCAAGTCCAAAACACCTGTTCAGAGTTCACAGCTTCATATTGAACCATCTCCAAAACACCCTTGCCTATGGCTTTCTTTAGCTTGGACTTCTTCCACCCCTTTCTTCATGGACATTCTTTTGACTTTATGTGTGGCCAGCCCAAATATCAGGGAATCTTTCCCATGACAGCAGCTGGTGAGAGCGAAGGGGGAGAAGTGGCAAGGTCAGCAGTTGAGTCAGTTACAGAAGATAAACCAGGACGTTGTTCATCTGTGTATGTCAGCTATCTGTTTTCACATAAGGAGTTAGGATCAGCCTCCTACACGATGCTAACCACAGACAGTGAACACCCAGACAGCGGCTGTGTGTGGGTGAACTGTTTTAAAACTCTGCTGGCTAACTGAAGTAAAAGGCAAATGAACTGCAGGAGGAAATTTCTTTCTTCCCAGGCTAAATGGAAGGTCATTTTGCTTTGTGAGGTCCAAGTGATCAAGGTGAAGGTATAAATGAATGCCTGGTGACTGTCCAGCTTGTGTGAACAATGTCATTAAGCCTTTCCATTTTTCACTGGAGTCCCAGACACTTCCTGTCTTTCTCAACCCCTGTCCCCTCAAGAAAAGCCGTGAAATAATTGTTACTCAGCAGCAATAGCCTAGCTACCAGACTATAGTACTACTACTATACAACCCTGTAGTGCAAAAGTTTGAGACCCAAAACTGTGGATAAAGATCTTTTCAGTAGTGTTCAAAGCCCAAAACCACCGAAGAGTCCAGATGCCATTGTCAGTAAGGCATCCCATGGATGGGAAAACCAAATAGTTCTGTTGTCATGGTCTTTTAAACAAGCATCCCAAATGGCAACGTGAACCTTGCTTCCTCCAATGTTCCCTGGAGATTCAGGCTTTTGAGAAAAGGGTTTGTTTATAAGTCATGTTTTTAATTTGCAACAATAATAAAGTAAAAATGCAAATCTCCTGTGTTTTGCTCACACAGCTGCATTCTCTGTACTGGGCCTTCCATGTTTGAGTACAAAGAATGAGAAGCTCTACTATATGTCATTTGTTGATCAGTTATATTATCATATCATTGAAGGCCTCACTTACAGACTAGAGCCTCAAATCTACCAGGCACCCACCATTCAGAAGCACATGGAATAAATAAATTAAAATGCTAATTCACTCCTTTTTTTGTTTGTAGGATCCCTGCCCTATGCCGAGAAACCCAGTCAGACTCTCAGCAAAGATGTTTATAGTTCAGCAGAGGCTGCACCTGGCCAAAGCAAACTGCCAGCCTGGGGCACCAGCAGCGCCAGAGAGAATCGCACAGAAGGCTGGCCTCTGCCTCCCGCCGACCTGCAGCGGCCAGAACCTCCCGAAATCATCTCCCTCTCATCAGACAAAAGGAAACGCACCAAACCTTCTCTAGAAAACAGCACAGGGCTGAGGAAACACGTCTTACAGTATGGAGGGGCCCTGCCTCTGGAGAGCCCGATGGAGGGGCTTTCTGCCTCTGCTGACTTCAACCAGGCAAACAGAAAGCAGGCGGATAGACGGCTGGCTGAGGCTGCCAACAGCGTGTCGGCTCACCTCCATCACCCAGCGTCTGCCTATCAGAAGACGACATCCTTAGTGGAGGCTCATCCTCTCCCAGACTCTGGAGCACTGGAGGCAGATGATCCGAACATGCTGGATCACTTCAACCGACCAGGCAAGATAATCCCCTATAATAAACATACTGATCCCTTCAAAACGATCGCCAGACCCTCCTGGGTCACCAACCGCCAGACATCCAGCTTGCCGCACCACTTCAGTGTGCTGAAGAAAGGTAAGGGGATAGAGTGCTGTGGCAAGGGACAGCGTGAACTTTCCAAAGGTTGGGTGGCCTCATTTGCATGAAATACCCCAGAAGGGCCCACTGCTGTCCCTCAGTCTACGTGCCTGTTCTAGATGGTGATAAGGAGAAGGCATGTCTGACCGAGTGCAGGAGAGACAGAGACGAAGTGGAAGCCTACTGCGCCAGTGAATTTGGTAAGTTGTGTCCTCCATGAACACACAGGCAAAGCACAGGCTGCCTACTACTGGCATTTCTGCTTTTAAGATACTGTTCCATTGAGTATGTTAAATAATTACTAAGTACACTAAAAGGACTCATCACTGCTCTTTATAAATGTACTACGACAAACGGTACCAAGTCTTACATTACCCTTTCTCTACCATGGGCTAGTGTTGCTCTTTACGTTTCCTCTACTTTCCACTCCTGGGAGGAAGACAGCGTTCCTGCTGCTAGTCAAGGGAACTGAAAAGACCAATTGTTTTAAATACTCTAAGATTAAACATTGTAGCTGTATTACTTACCTCTTAATACTTAGAGCAAGTTTGTGATTTTGGGGGGCTAAAGTTTCAAATTAAAACAAAATGGAGAACCAAACACAACACTCTGATCCTCTCTGTATACAGGATTCTCCCTGAAGTTCCTTAAGACTCAGTGTCTTTAGCCCTTGTGTCCAAGCTCATGTAGCTAAAGATGTTAGAAAATAGCCTGGCATTTTTGTACCAACTATTTAAAAGCAAGCTTTTGACTGAAATCTTGCCTTGCGCTTATGAAGTTGTGAAATAGATAGCAACTTTTTCTCACAGTATTCTAAGAGATAAGCAAAATACATGCCTAGTGGTAACAGATGTTTCCATTTGTAGAATATAAACACGTTACCAGACATCTGTTTTCTCTAAACGGAGAAGTCAGGAAGTGCTTTCTACAAATGCTATATTCTTTATTTTTTACCACTCTCATGCATTCCGGTCAAACGTAGGCCTTGCAGTGACCCGACCTTTGTGTATTTCAGCCTTTAACAAATAGCGGTCTCATTCATCTCTTACATTGAAAAGACAAGTAGGAAAAAGTCTGAGCAACAGATCAGCCAAGGTTCCATTGCAGTGATCAGAGCGAGCTGTTCATTTCTTCATATTTACAGTGCAGATTAAAGAATAAATGACTGCATCAAAGTTCTCAGTGAATCAGACACAGCACCAGTTATAGAAGTCCTATTTGCCTTACCTGCCTCACACATTTGTTGTTTCCTGATTCCTGCACTCAGCTCAGCACTTGTCAAAACCAGAAACTGGGTAGACAGCCTGATGCGATTATCTGAGCGTGTAACATTGCCTACATGGTGCCCCTTACCTCTTGGTACAACAGGAGCCTTTTCTTTCAAAAGCTAAAGCATTTCATTATCAGTTTAGCTTTGGGCCTCATTGTGAAGTTTTAAATTTGAGAATTTTACTTTGTTAGGTAAATATGTCCACTTTTTATATATCAGGATGGAAAACAATACTAAATTGATCATTTTCTTCTGAAACATTTTATGAACTTCATGAAGAAAGATCCTGTAAGGCCTAAGAAGGTTAGTAACTTAAAAAAACTAAGGTGATGACCTCATCAAATGTGATTATTTAAAGCAACTTCTACCTTCAAGAATGCCCACTACTAAGCCAAAGAATTTCTGCTGACACTTACTTTACAGCATTTTAAATGAGAGCCTTCACATATACCCTGAGTTGCCACCACAGTATGTAATCCGATGCTTGCTTTTTCATCCCCCCTCTCCCTTAAACCAGCAGTGAACGGAATTGTTTATAACATGGAAAAACTGGGGAACGGAGTCCACTTGGTTACGCTTTTGGTAAACAGCGATGGATTATACAAGATGAGTCGCCTGTATATCGCTCCTGATGGCTTCTTCTTTCAAGTTCACATTCTAGTTGTGGATACTTTAAACTGCAGCAAACCGTGTCCAGACTTTAAACTTGGTAAATAATTCCAGCTAAATCCATTCCACTCTTCCTCCTGCATGCAGTGCAATTTTAGTCCGCCCTAGTTTAATAGGCCTGGGTTGTTGTAATAGCTTTCCCCCCAGTTTCTCTCAGTTTTCAGAAGAGAAGAAACTGTGAAGAAGTCAGATAGCAGCATAGTCCTTTCTTGACTTTATCCAGTTCCAAAATGATTGCAAGAGTTTTCAGGTCTGCTAAAAAAAATTATAACCAGGAACAAGATGATGTCTTTGTAAGTAGTCTGGTTTTCCCTCTAAACACAAGCTTATCAAATACCAGTATTTCCCCTGAAAACCTTCTAATTGCAATACAGCACAGTAAAAAATGATTTCCGTGCAGGCATAACCCACAAGTCTCCCTGGAGCTCAGGGTGTCGCTGTACTAAGCCACACATCCTGGATGTATTTCTGCAGGGTACAACTTCACATCTATTCATAAATCTGTTGCCCTTAGAGCGAGTGCAGTGAATGAATCCATGCTTGCTTCATAGCACAGCTCCTTTATTTTGCAGGCAGTAGATACATTGTGATGGGTCGGATCTACCACAAGAGACGACAGATCCCTGCCAACCTGCTGCAGTTCCTGCAAGGGCGCCTGAGGCCAGGGGATGGCTTGCTTCGAAGTAGCAGCAGCTATGTGAAGAGATTCAACAGGAAGAGGAATCGCAAAGTGCAGGCGGCTCACACTAAGTGTAGATAAGGCCCCAGGAACTGCCGCCTATGGCACGGGCAGCAGCAGAATTCACCTACCAGAATAAACCTGACTGTGCTTTAGCAACAGTGGGAGGCAATTCTTCTCACGTCTGAAACTGGTTGGGACAGGACACGTGCTTCTGTGCTTTAGCAAACACTAACTGAATGACTTGACCTAGGAGCTGATATATTGTCAAGTTTAGCACAAAAGTCAGTCTAGGGAACATGAACTGGTTGTGAATTTGCTCCAGCTCTTTCCAGAGCCATGGGTTATTATTGCCTCCCCTGCTGTAATGTTCCCCTAATAATCTGTAGTAATTGTAAACTAAAACTCTGGAGGTGTTGTTCTAGGTACACGAGAAGTAACTGCACTTTCACATCCTTAACCTTGAACAATGTTAGATGATACCACTGCTTTATCTATAAAGGATGTCCATCGTGTTTTCACATAATTCTGCCTGAAGTATTACACACACTTAAGTCAAAAGAAACCAACAAAACTAGGTATCATTTGCATTGTTTTGGTATCCTCAAACACATCCATACTACTTTTAAAAATTACATCATTTTTCAAACAGAGCTGGATTTACACAAGGCAAAGTTGCTATGTAATTATTTGAGTGCATGAGTACACTAACTGAAAGCAAGTCGAGTAACCACACAACACAAGTGTCCAATTAGCCTTACAAATAACAGCGCAAATTCATGCCAGGGAATGCAAAATAAACACGCACTTGCAGGCACATTTTGTATGCCCGGTTACACTGTCCGTTCCTTACAAATTCAGTCCTAGAACTGTGCACTGAATGTCATCGTCCCATGAGAAATGTTGCCAAGTTTGTACTTGCACATCAGTAAAGCTACTTTCTGAATCAAACACACAATCTTTTAGTACCTTCAGTGTGGTGGGATGTAAGAACCTATGAAACCGCTGCAAAGGGGTCATTAATGTTTGCTATTCCAAGAGTCAGTGTTCACAAATCTTGTGTCTTTAAAATGTTCATAGGGTTCCGGAAGATCCAAAAAGCTTAGGTAGTGATAGTTAACAAAGGTATCTCTTTGTTCGACAAGTCAGCTGGGGATTTAAAGAAATATATAAAAAGATGGGAAAACACAGTCTGGCTTAAAAACATATATATACTGTGATAGATGTGATGTGACCTGGACCAGGAAGCAGTGGCTTCTATTAACATTTTCTGTTTTGAAGCAAAGGTAGTTCTAACACAATTCTACCTGTCCTACACACCTGCAGCTTCATTTGGTGTCACTGAAAAGCTGCAGAGTAGTGGATGGGTGCTACGTCACGCTGTATGAAGTACTTCTTCATGTGGAATAGGAACCAGATACTAAGAACAAACACCATATATTTTGGGACCCAAAAGGCTGTTACTGTAGGACAGAAATTTACTTATAGCTTGTGTCTGTCTAAAAAATAGTGTCTGACTCTTGATACGTAAGACACTTTGCACGGAGGCCAGCATATATAGATGGAATTTTCCTGAGACACTTTGAGGGGGCTTTTGATTTGGCAGAACAACCATTCCTGGCAACGAATCAAAGCACTGGGGTAGATGAGGAGGGACAGGAGAAGGAAGGAGGAAGGGTTTCATGTGCATCTCAAGTTTCTTCGTTTCTATTTTCAACTGAAGTCCAGGGACTAACCAGCAAGTCCTACAGTCATTCATTTGCCCAGAACAGCAATTAAACACCCTTCTCTGCCCCCCCAGACATTATCATAATCTAAAACAGGCAAAGCGTGGGTACAAAAATAACATCCACAGCTATATCTCATTTTAATTGTCCCTCTGAAGAGATAAGTAATAGTATACCAGTGCTAATGACATCCAAAGCCTGAGTAAAATGCCAGTAACTGACCCACAATGTCTGCACCTCTCTCCCAGATATAGCTATTGCTCTAGAAGCAAGACTGAAGAGCAATTTAATTAATGTTTTTTTGTGTGTTACATGTCCTCTTGCCTTCCCTTCCTTGCTTGGATGGAAGGACACTCCTTAAAACGTTACCACAAGCTGTGCAACAAGCCACGGTATTTCACAGCCCATCTGAAATACAGCTGGAGCAGTACGACCGTTCTTGCTTTTTACACCTTGCAACACACGAACTAATTACTGAAGAAAACAATTTCCTCGTTCAAGTGGATTTCCACAGTATTGCACCCACTGTTACAAAACTGTCACAGCACTAACCACACTGAAAAGATGATGGCACTTAAGTGCAAGAGCTGCTACGGTAATTTTGATATCTTACAGGAAATACTTTTTCCCCAGCAGGATAAGCATGAAAATTCTGCAGCCAATACACAGAAATGCAGGTGTACTGGAATACTGTTGTTTTCCTGTCTCTCCAAGGGTTTACTCAAGGTTTTTGGGTAAGCCCAACTTTTTATTCTACTTTAAATCCTCATTACCTTTTTGCATGAACTGAATTTAGACCAAGGATAACAGCTTCAAATTTGTTTTGAGTAGACAAAAAGAAAATCAAGCTGGTATAGCTCACATCATCAAAACCTGTGTTACAATACATGACCATTCTGAAACAAGTACTGCAGTAATTTATAAAAATACAAAGAGGAGGATGACTGAACAGAGATCACAAGTCTTAGGAACTTACCATGCTCTTAAGGTGGGTATTAATTATCAGTGATATATTTTCAGTAACACTATTTAACTATAAAAGATCACCAATAAAAATCAAGAGAAGTACCTCAACATGCTCAATGGCAATTGAAAACACTAACAAAGGCTCTCAGCATGATTAAATTGTATGTATGGATTATTTCTCTAATCAACCTGATTCACTGGCTGTTATATATAATCTTTCAAAGCCAAGACCTAGATACGATAACTTTATCAAATGTTTCATTAGAAACACCACCAAATCAATGTCAAACACATTACTTTATTTGTCTAGGATGATGTGTCCTGTAAGGTACAAAAAAGTACTCTTCAGTTTGCCACAAATTGTTAAAAACATAGCAATCTATTGCCTACAGGTAGGAAAGTTTTAAATCACGTAATATATATTTATATATGAATAAATAGTACAGAAATACTGCAAAGTTTTGATGAGATGCAGGATATGTTCAAATGCTGTTAAAAGTTGGGATTTTTTACCTTGTTGCATTAAAAACACAATGCATACAATATGCAGCATTTTTTAAACGTCAAAGGACAACATAACCTAAATGCAACTACTCTTCTTGAAGTTAAAGAAGCAGAAATGGATTATTGTTTTCACATTGAACAATTATGTTTAATTTTCACATATAGGTTAAATGACAACATTTGTATGTACAAAAACCCATGGGTTTTTATTAGATAAAATTACCCCAGAAGAACCTGTACACCTGAGCCTGTAAGTGTAAGAAAGAGTGGTCAGTAGCAACATCTTTTTAAGAAAAATAACAGAAGAGGTTCTTGCATAGCAAGGTGTGAGGTTAAACCCAAAAGGAGCTTATCCATAAATCAGGTAAATCCCAGATCACTGCAGAACAGAAGTTAAGTGTGAATTAGTGCAAAAGCTAGTCAAGTGGTTGAAGAGCCACATACAAACCATGGCTGATTAACTACAGATAGGTAAGATGAGCAAGTCATTTATACACGCAATGTGAAAAAGTGGTAGATCAGAAAGCAACGGCAACGTCATCTGCAATTTGCATCTTCTTGTGACTTCAATTCCTCGCTCACAGTAGCACTCCTCATGCAGGAAACAATGCAGCAGCCCGGAACGCCCTTCAAAGATATCATTACACTCGGTACTTGACATTCCTAGAGTACTTGGCAAAATATCACTTAATTCAGCAGTGGGCAGTGACATTTCACAAAATACTTCCTACCACGTTATCTGTTACAGTAATTTTGGCACCACTGTAGGAATTTTATAAAGGGATAACAGCTGTTTAAAAATGAAACGTAGTAAACGCTACCTTTGGAGCAAAATAAAGTCCAATCTCCCTGGTCACTTCCCTCCCCTATTACTTGAAATATCTGAACAGATCCCCAAAGTGTTACAAACATATTAGCGCACACTCAAAGACACCTACATCTGTGGGGAGAACAATTATCTCCATTTATTTTGTTTCATATACATCCATATTTTGAATTTTAATACAAAAGAAAAAAATTAGAATCTGACAAATGTTTACAAACAAGATACCTTCAAATAGATTTTACTCATTTCAGTCTGGTGCAGAGTAAATGACAAATTGTACTGTTATATTCAAGGCAACAGAGTCTGTAGTCCATGACCACTTAGCCCAACTTTTATGCAAGCTTAATTGTTTTTATCTACCATGAATGATAAACTCATTGTTGATTCCCAGTTCTGTGTGTGTGCACATGTGTACATAGCAGCTCCTTTCATAGAAAGAAAAGACATCTAGAGGTCTTCTTGTACTTTTACCTACAGGAATCATGTTAAGATACAGAATGGATTACATGTAACCGGGGCTGGATTTTATAAGAAAAAATAATTAGCTGACAAATGAGGGCAGCAATAAAAAAGCGTCTTTTTTGCAACAATAAATAAATACAGTCAAAGTTTTCTGTGTGGACTTTAAACCAGCTTCTTCACTGAAGAACAGACGTGGCATTTCCATGGAGTTAAACGTGACCCCATTTACTGTATCTTTTTTCTTGCTCTCTTTCTCTCTCTCCTTCAACAAAACAAAGTTTTCCTGCTTCTGCCACAATAGTACAACAATTTGATCTTGACAAGAAAGTGGTGCTGCTGATTTTTATTTCTTTGTCCTTTGGACAAAATAAGCCAAGAATATAATTTGACTGTTGTGACCAATAAAAACGCAGTTTACATCAAGTCTTGTCAGGATAACCTGACTAAAAACATCTGGCTTCTTAATTAAAAATTTTCAACCAGATTCTTGCTCGTGTGTTAGGTTAACACGCTGAACTCTAAGAAGCTGTAGACTGCAGTTTGTTGTTATGGGACCTGCAGAGTACAGAAGAAAGTGAAGAATTAAGCACCCTTCATTTTTGGAGAACACAGTTGCTGCAAGGTGTTGCCAAGGGTAAATCACAATGAGGGAATTACCACCATTTTGCTTCCATTTTGTTTGTCCCCCTTCAGAAAAAAGAATACTTGAAATAATTGTCTCTGAATTTTAAGCACGTTTTCCCCTGCAGTATACAAATATTTCAGTACTTGTAAAATGCAGTGTGTCACTCGAATATTCCCAAATGCCTGAAATCAGTTTTACTCTCATATTTACATAATAGTAGTCCATCAAAAGGAAAGCAAAAAGACATTTTAAATTGTGAATATTTATAATAAGGTATACTTTGCTTAAATTTATTCAAGAAGTCTTTGGATTAACTTAACAGAAAAAAACTGAACAGGCATGTTAAAAATCACATTTTTGCTAATCAGAGTTCAGCAAAACTCCTCTTTGACATTCACAGTTTTATTAATG